ATCCATCTCTGTAAAGCCAACCTAAGCATTCATACGTAAACCTTTGAAAGCTTTAGAAGAAAGGGCAAAAACTTTCTATTATACCATCAAGCAGAGCGATACAGCCTCTCAATCAAGTCCCCGATCTGCCCGAGAGTATGTCATATTTGGAGAGCATAGTCGTCAGTCCTGTCAATTTTTTTGTGGCAATATCCAAGCCATTATGCCTCCCTTAATTTTTGTAATACACAATTTTTTCTCCTTGTTTTATGCCTTCTATGCGTCATCGAGTAGGTCCACAGACGTATATAAACACAGAAGAAAAAGTCGACTACGCAACACAAAAGAACCCTTCCAACACTTACTACTCATATTCGAGCTACCACTCTTGAACGATGACGAAACAAGCCAGCGCCGACAACACCAGCGCCACTTACGAAGTACGTATATCTAAAGAACCCTGCCTTTTCTTGGCTCACTACTGAGAATTTGTAGGTTGGAGACCACGTTCAGTACCAAGCTGTTGGTGGTAGCAATGTCCCAAACTCCACTACTCAAGGAGAGGTTACTGAGGTTATTACTGGCAAGGAATCTGCTGGTGAGACTGGTGTTCAAGTCAACGTATGTCCAATTTTGCATTTTCCGCTTTCTTACAGTTCTGATTCAGTTATTTAGGCCTCTACTGATGATCCTTGATATGTTATCCGCAACGATAAGGTTAATTGTCATTCTTTGGCTGAGTGGCTCTACTCCGCAACGAGACCAATAGAATGCTGACTCTGAAAGCTCTTGATAGACCGGGAAGGAGACTGCTTACAAGGAGAAGAATATCGAAGGAACAACCAAGTAGAAGTTTAATTGAATCAGAGCAAAGAATTTTTTCATATCGTACATAGTTGTAATTGCAGCTAGCTACTTTGAAGTTATACGCAGCAGCTGCTATATGCGCAGAGAGAATCTTGTATCGAAAGGTGGATGCTAAGGCCTAAGGCATTGGCCTGTTAACGAGTGTCATTGAAGGAGCTTGGCGGACGTGCCGGACGGCGGTCAATTTCAAGTCCTAAATAAGGAAAGTACTCCGAGTTGATCACACGACCACCTCAAAGGCCAAAAGATAGATCTCTGACACACTCAGAAGACCTCCGTTCCATTCAACTTTAAAAGCACCAAGTACTAAATTCTGGAAGCGAGGTCAAAGTTGGTTGAGTATTGGTACATGTCTAGAAATAGCTCGTAATGCGAGTATTTTACTACATTTTTGTAGACGTATCAAGACCTGCCATTAGGGTATCTTCATATCTACTATTGCTAGATTGGGTGCAAGATAATCATGAACTGCACAGACCTGCACTCTCATATTTTCTAACCAAGTTTATTCTGTGAAAATTGTTCGAGCTCTCGAGCTGGATTTTGGTGCACCGGCTTTCGCCGTCGGAGTGGGCCAAACACTGCCAGGGAATCAAGTCGTCCTTCCATATGGTATCAACTTGTATTTTCCCCCTTGCGGTCTGCGAACCTCGGAACTGCGATAAAAATTCGATTTAGTGATAGACAGCCAATTCGCGGACATCGTATTGATAAATTTTGTGCAATGGCTACAGGTGTGCCAGATGCCTGGTCAACACCATTCCCTAAAGCTTGTTAATTTCTCATATGATATAAAATTAAAAAAAGAGGAAGGGGGCCATGTCTAGCCTTTACTGACGACAGGACTTGAACCCACAACCTTACCTATGACCTCTTTATCAATAGCTCGCTATTGTCTAGGAACTCACTGGAAAGCTACACAGTTACTCTTCTACCACACCAGTAAACCAAAAACTTGAGATACTGTTAATTAGATCCCACCCTAGCATAGACCAGCAGGCAACAGGAAAGAGAAACGCTACAGTTTTATTGGGGGAAGGTGGAAAAAATAATTGAAAAGCTGGAAGAAAATTTTTTTTGAATGAGGGGATGCGGATGCGAATGAGAATTTACTTCCTGACTATCCTGGATCAGCGCTCAGCGTCGTTGTCCACTTCTTGGTGTACCTTGGAAGAACCCCAGAAAACTCAATGCAGATTTGAGCTTTTATTCGGATTTGACAGCCCATTTGTGTTCCCCTCTTCCAAGTAACAAGCCCAGATTGTTTGCCTCTGCTGGCAGTTCCTTGAAGTCCATGCTGCCGTTAGAATTTTTTCCAAGATAGCAGAAGGAGCACATCAGAGAGTCGAAAAGTTGGCAACCAGGTGAGTGCAGGTCTGCTTCTACAGTCAAAGCTTTTGGAACTGAGTGTCAACTCCTTGACCAGTTCTGGCCTCTGTGACACCTCTACCGCCACCTAGACACTGTCAACACTCCCTAGCTCATCGGATCTCGTTCTGCCAGCACTCTCCTCAGTAGGAACTCGTAGAACTCATGCTCTTCACTCTTTGCAGCCCATAATACCACCCAGCTCCTCATATCAATCTCCTTTACAGACTCGGCGCTCTCAGGGCTCACAGACACCAAAGATTTTTTTATATGTTGTGTTAACTAAGTATCTTTATCTCTAGTATTGCCGGATTTAGTGTGAGATAGGCATAGTCTGTACGGTCTGCGTTCTGTCCTATGTAACCAAGTCTAATACAGTCGTTTGCATAAAGGTTTGCAGTTCCGATTTTTTCGATGCTTGTTTGATTGTATTGGCTTGCTCTATACATTTCGGGGCCCAGGCCCACCAAATCGTACGGAACCGGCATCTGACGACACCATCTATGAGTCAATCTTAATCGAAATCAACGGTTTGCTCGTCCTTTAGGCGTCGGCTCTGTGTCCGGCTCTTTAAAATACCAAATACAAATAAATACGACGAAAAAGCATGCGAACTATCGCGATCCGGTACAGCCGTTTGCAAAAAGTTTTGCCCCCTCGAGTTTTCTACCCGTGTTTATTTGTATTTAGTATTTTGATAGGATTCCTATATAATTCAAGTGCCGGTATGCCCGAAGATAGTGATGGACCCATCGTCGATGGTGGTTCCGTACGATTTGGTGGGCCTGGGCCTCGAAATGTATAGGATGAGTAAATACAGATAAACAGCTGTTGAAAACTCGAGTGGGCAAAACTTTTTGCAAACGGCTGTACAATTTCGCAATCGGCTGTAACTGATTGATCGCGATGAACATTTCGGAGGACATCATCGATTGCGTCAGCTTACCTAAGCCATCCAACTGAGACGGAACATCCACTGTTCTTCAGCTCAGTGGACTCCGACCAAGGCAGGAAGAATTTTTCTTGTGAAACGCTCTGTCTCCGCGGCTGAATGCTCCCCATAACTGTCGGTATTTGAACAGCCACTCAACTGAGCGAAAAAGCAAAACAAGAGCGACTACTGACTCCAGGAAACTTTGCCCTACTGTGCACTTACGCCGTCATGTCACCGTGCTAAATCGATCCTCGATGGCATACCAGACGGATAATACAACATAAACCATCACATTTACAGCCCTAACACCTTGAACCGAGCACACTAAAATCTGCAACAGTGAAGGGGTCCAAGAAGAAGTTATACTGTCGCAATTAACCATATGTTTCCATGTCTTGCAGACGAGCTCCGGCCCCTCGTTTAGTCGTCCATTCCAAAGTTGTTGAACATGGATACAGCATGAGCTTGATATCTGCTTTCCATGATTCTGCGTCAACAGTTACGAGCTTCCTCGCCGATGCCGGCGGTTTTGAGATTTTGATTTCATTTCTCGGTTTATAGGCACTTCTAACGTATCAATTTTGTTTCTCCTTCCTCGAAGGCTTTATATCTCGTATGCGGCACAGGTACTCTACAGCTCAGCACTCTGCCGTTGGGATTTCATTCTCAGCGTACTGCCCACAACTTTTCACACGTTAATACTTGCAGGCCTGTTGGGAGATAGCGCTCAGAAACCTCCGACCAGTGGGGAATCTCTACAGGAAGTCGTTTCGAGTCTAGCTGAGTCGCACCTCAACAGGTTCGAGTAAAAG